CACACACACACACACACACCATTTTCTTCACGCTGTTTTCAAATCAACACAATAGGAAACGAGCTGAAGCTGCTGATTGCTCTGCACGTCCTTCAGGGAGCGCAGAAAAGGCCGTTTGGCTGCAGCCAATCAGCTCACACCTCACCAGCACCACGGGCGAGTCAGGTGGGGGGGGGCGGATGGCACCCTTCAAAGCCTGCAGGAAGTTTTCACACTTCATTAAGAAGCTCGACACATTCGAGCGGAACCACACAGACGGGCTCCGATTCATCCCATCACACACACGAGATCACCGCCGTCATCCTCCCACAGGCCGCAGACGCCAGCCGCAGGCGGAACCACAACCCCAAACGAGCAGCTCGGACCGCCGGGATCAGCCGAGCCTCAGGATTGTTTTGTGGAATAAGTTAAGATCGTTTCCTTCCAAAGCGCCGTTTTCACGTCTCACCGGAGGTGGCGTTAACTACCGTTTGACGAATCGGTCCAATCACAGCTCATCATTACCGGGCAGCGCTGCAGGCTCTGAGCTGGGGTTTGTGAGATACACGCAGGCCGAGAAAGAGCCGGCGGGACTGAAACGAGCCAATCACAGCGCTCCAATCAGCTGATGATGAGCAGTGGAGTGCTCATCAGAAGGTTAGATTGGCTGCTGTGCATCTCCTGCCCACTCAGGGGTTAACGTAAGTGGGAGCAGCAGTGATGTGGCGCTCTTATGTAACACTGAAGGCAGAGCAGCCATCAAATATTCAGCAGGTCTTCCCTCGCGCTCAGTGAGGCGGCGGCGCCCCGAGCAGCTCGCTGGATCAGCACGACACACCAAAACTCTGCGAGCAGACTCAGGACCAAACATCCTGCTGCTGCCCGCGCTCGTTGTTAGCAGCACCTTCACAGCCTGACGTCCCGATCTGCTGCGACTTCCTGGGATATCGCCGAGTTTGTTTGAGCTGCGTTTACGTCGGGGAACGAGGAGTTACACTGAAGTTCAGGCTGCCTTTGTGACAGCAGGGCAGAGCTTACACAACACAAGCTCCACCCACCTCCATAAGGGACAGCCAATCAGAAGAAAGTCAGTCTAAAAGAGGGAGGGGCTAAATCAGCCCAGAATCAGACAAAGAAGGATTATTATGAGCAGTGAATCATGAACAGATGGTGGACTCCAGCAACAACGGTTCTGGAGGGTTAGCCGTGGAAAACATGGCGGCATTGCAAAGCTGAGGCCAAGCGAGGCGTGCAGATGCCAGAAAGCAGCGGGCAACGCGACGCTGTGATCTGAAAACCTCCCTGAGCCTGGTGTGGCTGGAGGTTTCTTCCTGTTAAAAGGAGTTTTTCGTGCCCACTGTCACCGTGTTGTTCATAGGGCGTGGTCTGATTGTTGGGGCTCGTTTGTTGTTTCAGCAGTTTTCCACATCCTGGATACAAATACAAATACGTCCTTGTTTGCTGAGAGGAAAGCTGAGCGGTCACGGTGTGGTACAGGTTGAAGCACCTGGAGGTGACTGTTGATGTGGTGCCTTTTAAATAAAGCTGTACTGAATTACTGCCTCACGCTGAGACTGGACTCGTCGGTGAGCTGAAGCTCTGAGCTTGAAATTAGCTGCAGCAAAACAGGAAGTGCTACACGTCCCTATTTTAAATGCTCAGCCTCGTGAACAGGAGGATATTCTTGTTGTGTCAGACACGAATCTGCTCCCAGCTAACGGCCGTGGATGAGTCCAGCTGACAGGAGACAGTCGGCCTCCTTCACTCCATCATTACAAGATTCCAGTTTCCTCACTTTAACAAACAGCAGCTCTGATTTGTCGTCTTAGCGAAAGGCCTCGCTGATGTTTCGCTCTGCAGCGCCACCTACTGACAACAGGAAGTCAGCCTAAAGCGATGAGTGTTCCCTGAATGAAGCAGTGCGCTGTGTTTCCTGTGAGCAACACACAAGAGTGCAGGCATGACGATATCTACACGACAGTAGGGTAACCTCAGTCAGCCATCTGGAACGAGCTCCCACCTGAGGCTCCTCCTC